TTCCTGTAGGCCCCCTTCAAGTACTGAAGGCTGGTACCACATTATGTTTTTGTAATCATACCCCACATCATGCAGGCTCTCTGAAGAACTATTTCACTCCTTAAAAAAAATTGGTACCAGCATTTTCAGAATCAACCAGTGATTTGAGGTCCTTGTGGTTTAATGGAGCTCCCAACCACCATCAGAAAATTGTGCCTTCTTCAAGTGCTGCAGTTTCAGCAATTGAATCTTTAAATGCCCCTAAAGCCACTCATCACTTCTGAAAAACTTGGCTTCTGGCTGTGTCATATTTCAAAGCTCTTCAGCTTTCCTCTGATTTCTAAAGTGATCATTTCCTGGCATTTCCAATTAGCCCATTAGATACTTTAGGAACAAAACCGAAAAAGAAATCTGCCTCAGAAAAGTGAAGACTTGAAAAAAAAACAGACTCAAGTTGTTGCTTTTGCTCTACCTGGGAACAAAACACATAGTGACAGTAGAAATTCAGTCATGATAGTCAGTCATCATACCTCAAAGTTTTACCAGATTTGACCAGCATAACAAGGGCAGATTTGTACAAAACCAAACACCAGCAGGTTCATCAAATTAAGTCTGAATTTTACGCACCATGATGAGTTTTTCACCAGTGCTTGCTGCTATAATAATAAAACATTTTTTCTGCCTCAGAGTAGAGCTGCAGATGGATAACAAACCTACTCAGTGTGTGCACATACCCACCTTGCCCAGACTCCCAATAACTCTGCAATGTGACTGCCTGATTTCGATCAGAAGGATGTGACTCATATCAGACTAAACAATGACAAGCAACAAGGTCTTTGCAGTTTTCACTACCGCTTGGGTAGGCTTCAAACAGAACATGGTGGACAGGGGTACCTGGACTCAGCTAGTTCCTCGTGCTCTAAACTAGCTGCAGACTAGTCGGTTGAAGTCCCTGTAGTTGCCTGAGGGTACCACCACCAAGGTCAGCATGGGCTGATTTATCCCACTCTAACTGCACTATGGTTCCTTCTCACAGAAGAGGAGGCTTAACTGCTTATTATTCCACCAACCTGATGAGGGCCATGAAACATTTATACGCTAATCTCCCAGATTAATTTCCACTAGCAAATTTTATTAAAAAAATGAGGAGGAAATCTGGGCTGTTACTATTACCATTGCTTTAAATGTTTTATTTGTCTGAGACATTCTGTACAAGACAAAGTTAAATATACATTTTGTACAAAGGTGACATACATTGCACCTTTACAAAATAGTACCTCTGCTTACATATTCATCTACATACACAATATGCCATGTCTGTTGTGAGCTAAGGGGTCAGTTTTCAGCAGACGGTGTATTTTTTTATGCCACAGAACAAAAGAGAATGAAATGAAGACATCATGCAGACCAAGCGCCAATGTCACCAGTGTCTTTTAATGCTCAGTTATCAAATGGTCGCTGTTTTATTCTTTTCAAGAAGGCACATTCATTGAGCAATGAAAAAGAAAATGAGAAACAATGAGGAGGAAAACGTAATTTAAAAAAATAGAGGTGTGCTGCTGGAACAGGATATGATTCTACACAGATCTGTGCAAAGGTTTTTGCATTGCTGTATAACATTTTGCATTGCCTTGTATGATTGACTCAAAAAGCCCTGTCCTGTCTTAAGGGAAATAACTTCTGGTACTTTATATCAAATAAAAATATGCAAGTCTTCTTGACGCAGTAAGTGACCAAGGTAATGCTCTGGCATTTTTCTGCAGAAGAACTGGTTCTAAATGAATGTTTTGGCTGCACCTTTCCTCTGTATGCAAGGCTGCCTGAGCAAACCTCAAGAGGCATCTCTCTTGCCGAGTAAGGACACTGCCATCAAACACACGGCTTTTAGGCTCCAGGAGCAGGGACGGTGGAAGGAGCTCAGCAATGCTGAACTTCTCTCAGTTCTCCAGCTTGCTGGAATTACCCTGCACAGGTGGTGGTTTGGTGAAAAGGTCCAAGTGCTTCATTTCTGGCTTTGCGAGTGAGTGCACAGGTGAATCTGGAGTTAGTTCATCTTAAATAGATGGCAGGGGGACAGTGGGCTTGGCAGAACAAATATATGTGAACATAATTATGGATAATGGGTAAGAAAGATCTGTCTCACTGAGATTCTGTTGTCAGAGAAATTAAGTTCCAACAAAAATACTCTCCGTAACCAGTGATGAGGGAGCCTCAAAGTTCTCTGGAGCTTGTTTAAGAAAGAGGGTCAGAGCAGGGCCTCTCCTCATCTTCATTCATCCTCCAAGATAAACCACAAACTACAGTCTATTTCCAAGCCCTATTCACTAATCAATACTATTATACCCTGAAAAGTCCTTACATCTTCATAAGTGAAATGCATTTGAGGCAATCCTCTTGGGCACCCTTTATACTCATCCACCTACAGTCTGGAGCACAGTTCACATCCTAAAGCAAAGACACATCACACTGATACCTCCCCTTCTCTGAACAGAGGAAAACAGCTCCTCTGAACACGTCTGCACTGTAGAAATCCATATTTCAGTGGGATGAAATCTTACCTGTCACAAGGCAGCTCACTCCTTCCCCAGACAAACACTTATCTTTGCTACTCTTCTAACAGGGAGTGGAAGGTTATCTCCAGACTGACATACTTTAAAGCAGTGCTTTAACGTAAATGATGTAGGTTTACCAGACGGTAAAATCCAGAAAGGAATTTTTTGTTAAAGCTGCTTCCAAAAATCTTTCACCATATTTCATCTTTACACTATTTTCTGTCCAAATGTATTCTGCAAAAAATATTGTTGTAAGGTAGGTGGGAAAATCAAACTATATTTTGCTTCATGAAACAAAGTGTGGACTACAGTTCACAGAAACTTCAAGAGGAACAAAGGCTTTAGATCTGAGATCTTTGACTTGTTTGGGATCTCCCACTTGTGGAAACATTGAAGCTCACACTGAGGCAAGCTCTTCCTGGGAAACCGGAGTGAGTCCAGCGGAGGGCTACAAGGATGGTGAGGGGACTGGAACATCTCCCCTACAAGGAAAGGCTGAGGGAGCTGGGCTTGTTCAGCCTGAAGAAGAGAAGGCTGCGAGGGGACCTAATAAATGCTTATAAATATCTCAAGGGTGGGTGTCAGGAGGATGGGGCCAAGCTCTTTTCAGTGGTGCCCAGTGACAGGACAAGGGGCAATGGGCACAAACTGAGGCACAGGAAGTTCCGTCTGAACATGAGG